GGGCTACGGTGAAATATTAGGGGTCTAAACAGACCCCTGACATTTCCATTTTGAAATAGAAAAATAAATTGAGTCCTCAATTTCTTTCTCTGCAGCCTCAGCACTCAATGAATGGGAAGCACTCACTACAGAGGTTCCTCCCCATTCATTCAGAAATTCAGAAACTAATGATGGTAAAAATATCTTACTATCATTAGTTTATGAATGGGGAGGAGCCTCCGTAGTGAGTGCTAGTCCCCATTCATGAATTCTTGAATGAACAGGAAGTGATGTAAATCACATCCTGTTCATTCATAACTGGGGACACATAGTACTATGTGTCCCCAGTTATTTACAAACACCGGAGAGATCAGACGATGGCTCCGGTGTTTGCTCTGCACAGAGGGACCGTTATATATCAATGATATTTACCGATCTCCCGCTCGGCCACGCTACACAGAGCCGCTGTCATCGGAAAACTGACAGGATGACAGCGGCTCCGATCAGAAACGCCGCTCGGCCATCCTGAATTGCGCTCAGCCGCCGCTCGCCCCTCCAGCCCCGCCGGCCAATTTTCATCGGGTCCCCGCTGCCACAGACCCTACAAGTGGGGGACAGCAGCGGGGATCCATGGAGTCTCTCATCCCAGCATGGAGCAGCTTCGGGCAGGGATGAGAGACTCCAGATGCCGGCAGTATCGGTGCCGGCGGGAGGGCGCCCGGTATTTGCGTTAGTAGCGGTCAGCTTGTGAGCCGCTGATGACCGCTATTATTTTGAAGGGGACAGTCCTGCTATAAGTTTATTCTGCTATAAGCCGTTACTGGATATTGAGTTCTTGTCGGGAATATTAGGAATCGGAGATTGCTGATCCCGGGAAGATCCGATGGCCTTATGAGATCAGGAAGGATTTTTCCCCTGTTGGAGCAAATTGAACATCATGCTTTATGGGGGGTTTTTTACCTTCCTTTGGATCAACAATACTAAAGGAATCTCATGAACGATACGCAGCAGCTGCTCCCGGTAGTTTTGTGCAGTACAACCGGCTGCCTATTGGACACCCCATGGTCAGATGGCTCAGAGGGGATGGCCTCTCTATACAACCGTTCCTGTTCCCTGTACACTCTTGTTGTGTCACCCTCGGCTGGCGGTCTGCTGACCAGACCCCTGAGCTCCTCCAGGCTGCTGTCCATTATAACAGCCTCAAGGAGCTCGGAGCTATCGGTCACAGGTGCCAAGGAGATGAAAGGCTGAGGAGACCTCGGTTCTTCAAGGTCAGGTTCTGAGGTGGAAGGGTTGATCCTGGTTGGATTGGCCGCTCCTGCAGACAGTTCTTCTGTAGCGGTGCACAGAAGCATGTCCGAGGAGGACACGTGGGCACTGCGGGTCACCATAGCAGCAGACAGAACATCTGCAATGCTCATGTTATCACACACAACACCACATAGAATATCACCATCAGTTTCTGAGTACATCATTTCTTTCAGCTCTACTCCAGACATTGGCTCTGGAGACCCACTGGGGCCAGGTTCTGGCACACAGTCATTCGACCCTCCCCAGAATTCTCCAGGTGCACAGAGTCATCCAGCCAGTGGCATAACAATAGCCATAGCGACCCAGGCGGCCGCTATGGGGCCCGGGCACAGGGGGGCCCGTCCAGGACACCCCCCTGATGCCGTGCCGAGGCCGCCTGGGTCGCTATGGGTTTCGAACGCGCCGCTGTTCAGATCACCGCGATCTATGCAGCGCTGCGTTCTTCTCCATAGCCGCTGCTAAGTCAATGAGAGTCAGCAGCGGCGGTGGAGGAGGCTGACAATCTGCAAGGGGTGTAACAAGAAATCACAGGGCCCTATACAAAATTTTGCTATGGGGCCCTGTGATTTCTAGTTACGCCCCTGCATCCAGCAGTACCTTTAGTGATTCTGGGGTCTCAGGTGGAGATGAACTTGACTCCTATTGGGCTACCAACCACCCAAGATCTACGGGGCTTACACATTCAGGGCACACTAAGGTATCCTCTGCCCCAGTGTCCCTTAGGCCGGTGGAAACATTCGCACCCACAGTGACAGTCCGAATAATATCTAATAAGACTCCCAAATTCCGGGAAGCACACAGCACAGAAGGGCCCCTGCTGGATGGTTTGGTGGGTGGGGCAGCCTTTTGCCTCTTGGGGCAGGACACACTGAGATGTCCCACCTTGTTGCACACAAAGCATCTCCGGGTGCCCACAGCAGATGGCTTGGCTCCTGAAGTTCCAGGTGCTTTGGGCCTCTGTCTGTCTGAAGAAACGGGTTGAGCTGCTTTTCCCACTCTCCAGCTGGGAGTAGTAGTCCTCCTGTTTCTGACATTCTGTTAGCCACATAGGAATCGGCAATTTCCGTGGCTTGGTCTGCTGTCATGGGCTCTGGATCCAGAACAAACTGCCGGAACTCAACTCGACAGGTGTAGAGGAATTGGTCCTTAATCATCAGATCCTGCAGGGTGTCAAAAGGTGTTTACAGACAGTCCCTTAGGCCACTGCTGGAAGGGAACATGCACACTGCAAGCAAGGTCCATGTAGACGTCATCAGGACCACGCTGCAATGTCCTGAAGAGGTCACCATACACCTCTGGTGTGAGGTGGTATTTAGTAAGGGTCTGCTTAATGACCTCATAGTCCCCTCCTTGGCCCACCGGGAGACTCACAAATACATCCAGGGCCTTGCCTCTCAGCCCTGAGGTACCGTGCCCATTGCTCCTTGGGCAGGCAGTACTGATGACAAGTGCGTTCACATCCTTGTAAGAAAGTGTCCATATCACCAATTCTGTCCACGGTGGAGAATCTTAAAGACGCGCTCTTCCCTGCACTCCAAGGAACCAGCAAATCCATTCAGTTGCATCTGGAGTTTAGCTAACTCCAACTGTTGTTGCTGCTCTTCTCGTCTCTCCTCTGCCTGATGCTCTTCTCGTCTCCTCTCTGCCTGATGCTCTTCTCGTCTCTCCTCTGCCAGATACTCTTCTCGTCTCTCCTCTGCCTGATGCTCTTCTTATCTCTCCTCTGCCTGACGCTCTGCTCGTCTCTCCTCTGCCTGATGCTCTTCTCGTCTCTCCTCTGCCTGATGCTCTTCTCTCTCCTCTGCCTGACACTCTTCTCATCTCTCCTCTGCCTGACGCTCTTCTCGTCTCTCCTCTGCCTGACGCTCTTCTCGTCTCTCCACTGCCTGATGCTCTTCTCATCTCTCCTCTGCCTGACGCTCTTCTCGTCTCTCCTCTGCCTGACGCTCTTCTCGTCTCTCCTCTGCCTGATGCTCTTCTCTCTCCTCTGCCTGATGCTCTGCTTGTCTCTCCTCTGCCTGACTGTGTTGCTCTGCCTAGCTTTGACACTCTTGAAGATGCAGAATGAGCTGTAGGCATGGTGTTTGGTCATCTGAACCCAGTAGTTGTATGGTGGCCTGCAAGGACTGCATCTGGGTGTTAAATTGATAACTCGGGACATCACACCCATCCTCATGCTGTGTTGGGGAAGACTGTTCCTCCTCTGGGGTGGCGTGGTCCAGGTCATGTTCCTCTGAAGCGGGGGCTCGCTGTGCCCAATCATGATCAATCAGGGTGGAGATCAGCGGCTGCTTTGCCTGGCCTCTCGTGGTGTGGATCCCTCTGACCTCACACAGATTCATCAGGCCATCTCGGCTTTGTCTCATGTAGCTGATCTCTCTCTCAGCCATTTTGACCAAAATAAAGGTAGAAGGAAAACAAGAGGGGGAGGGGATCCAATAGCCAAGTATGTCTTTATAAAAACCAAACTGAGAGGGCTTCTGTAGGCCGATCACTGCTAACAAGTTCCCAGCCGTTAGTACACAGGATAGCGGAATACATTGTGCACCAATACACTAAACTTATCCCACCGCTGCCACCAGAATGTCAAGGAAGGACGGCCCTCCCGCAGCGACTCAATAACCGGAGCGGGTTCATCGCCCGGAGGAGGATACTTACTGATAAAACACTCCTGTGAAACAACAGTCACAGCATGTAATACCACAGCCTGCCACTGGAGGAAGGACTATGTATCCCAGCAGACCTCACAGCAGTGGTGGAGCAGAACAGTCAGGGCTAAGTTTCTATTCCTTTGAATCCACAGACAGAGCCCGGCCTCAGCGCAGCCTCTGGCCTGCCAGTCAGAGAGGAGAACCCCGGCTTAGCCCCCCACACAGAACTTACAAAGGTCCTGAGAGGGGAGGGAAGGGGGAGCATACATTTTTTTTTTGCTAAGCAACTCCCCTCACCTCCAATTCTGTCTTGTTCTGCGGAGGCTGCTTTGGTGGGAATCAAGAGATGTGTACTAGGGAATGGGCAGCTTATATCGGGGGTCCAAGTGAGCCTAACCCACAGCGGGGCTCATGTGATCTGCAGACCTCTGACTGCAAAAGCCAGCAGGACAGAGAGTGGGGGCCAGAGGGAGAGCCCTGCGGGTCTGCTCAATGTAAAGCCCAGATCTGCAGATGACTCCTTTCATCTGCTGGCTCTGTGTCTGAGATCAAAGTCCAGGCTGCTGTACGAGGGGGAGGCTGGGAGTGAGGAACGGGGAACCCACAATGAGGTGAGAAGGATTGGGGAGCAGAGAGAGGGGTTCAGGGCTGTCAGGAGCCCCCTTCTTCACACCCAGATATGGAGATTATTGTCAGGAGTCCTCCCGTGTATTATCTGTGTCCTCTGTATAAGGATTCCTATGAATACGAGTCTCAGCCTCGCCCTGTGTAGGAATGTACAGAACCCGTCACGCTGGTTAATGAGTGTCAGAGACTTTCACTTCCCTCTTCTGCTGTCAGTGATGGCGTCTGCTGTTCTGAGGAAGGAGCTGGAATGTTCCGTCTGTCTGAACACTTATACAGATCCTGTAACCCTGAGATGTGGACACAATTTCTGCCGGGACTGTATTGATCTAATGCTGGATACACAGGGGAGGTCTGGAGGATATTCCTGTCCTGAATGCAGAGAGAAGTTCCAGGAGCGGTCTACACTGCAGAGGAACATAACACTGCGTAACATTGTGGAGAATTTCCTGTCTGCTCAGCCAGATCAGGAGGAGTCCGGGATCTTCTGTACTTACTGTATTCACACTCCTGTACCTGCTGTGAAGTCCTGTCTGATGTGTGAAGCTTCTCTGTGTGACAACCACCTGAGAGTCCACAGCAAGTCCCCAGAACACGTCTTATGTGACCCCACCACTTCCCTGGAGAACAGGAAATGCTCCGTCCATAGGGAACTACTGAAGTATTACTGCACTGAGGACTCTGCCTGTATCTGTGTGTCCTGCAGCTTGGCCGGAGAACATCGAGGACATCAGGTGGAGACTCTGGATGAGGCCTCTGAGAAGAAGAAGAAGAAACTGAGGAATGTTCTGCAGAAACTGATGACAGAGAGAGAGGAGACGGAGAAAAGAGTTCGGGAGCTGGAAATAAAGAAGGACAAGCTGTCCAGGAAGATGCGTCACATTGAGGAGCTGTGTAACATGACGGATCCACTGACTGTCTTACAGGAATCAGACACAGGTGACTTGTGTGATACTGGGGATGGAGATGATGAGGACAGAGAGAGACATGATAGACTCCAGGTGACTTGTGTGATACTGGGGATGGAGATGATGAGGACAGAGAGAGACATGATAGACTCCTCCATGATGGAGGGGATCTGGATGTGGCTGGGATCTCACACACATTACACACAGGTATATCTGATATCATGTCTGGGGTAATTGTACAGGAAGGTCCAGGCACACATGTCTATCCACATTCTAGTACAAAGGGCAAAGGTCACATCACTGCTGAGCCATCCAGGCCACGTCCCCAACCCATCCCCACCATACATGTCTATCCACATTCTAGTACAAAAGACAAAGACCACATAGAGTCTGAACTATCCAGACCACGTCCTCAACCCTCCTCCACCGTACAACACTCACACCTCCAGGCTCGAAGACCAAATATTGGGGCTGCTCAGCAAACATCGGGGGTGTCGGGGGTTACGGACATATTACTGGATGTGAACACAGCTGGTAATAGACTACTTATATCAGATGACAGAAAATCTGCAACCTGGTCATATAAGAACCATAATCGTCCAGAAACTCCGGAGAGATTTCAGGATTGTCCTCAGGTGTTGAGCAGTCAGAGTTTCTCCTCAGGGCGACATTACTGGGAAGTGGATGTCAAGAGGTCCAAGTCCTGGATAGTCGGGATGTGTTACCCCAGTATAGAGAGGAGAGGACCTCAGTCAGAGATTGGATGTAATAAGAAGTCCTGGGGTTTGGAGAGGAGTCATATTCAGTACTCGGTGATACATGACAGTGATGAGATCCGATTACCCGGCATTGTCTCCAGTAACAGAGTCAGGATAGATCTGGATTATGAGGCCGGGCGGATCTCCTTTTATGATCTGTGTGACCCGATCCGACTCCTTCACACCTTCACCACCACCTTCACTGAGCCCCTCCATGCCGGGGTATTTGTAGGGAGAGGTTGTATAAAGATATCTGGGGGGAATCAGATGTGAGAGATCTGCCCGGAGACTGGTGACATCACAGGGCGTAGAACCTGATTGTTGGAATACTCAGCCAATAGGAGGAAGCAGTGGACGGGAAATTACATTATTGATTTACTTATAAGGCTGCAGGGCCCCGGGGCTGACCAGGAACAAGCATGCAGGAGTTCACTGGCTGCTAGCTTGTTCCGGGTCAGTGACACACTAGGTATTGTTGTCATGACGGGGGGTATACATTCTCAGGAAGTGGAAATCCTCGGCTCTGTATATGGGAATATTGATCAGTGACTGGATATAGATATAATGATGGGACGGACTACAATCCCCATTCTCCCCTTCAGTCCCGGCACCTCTATGATCCTTATGGGGCAGAACAATGGTTACATTTCCTCTATGGTCCTAGTCATGTGATAAAGAAAAATCCTTCTGATCTGCGTTACTAATGATGAGATGACATCACTAAGTGCTTCTATGCTCATGTTGGGTTCTTTCTAGAATAACAGGCTGACTTGCTGGAATGACTTTACAGAAAGATGTGATTAGAACAAATGGTTGTTCTCCGGATCCTTGGAATGTCTTGTTGTAGAACACAGTGACAGTTGGTCTCCTTGTTCTACAATGAGGTATTTGGGGGTCTGGAGGTGGGACAAGCTGATGAGGTGATCTGAGATGACAGAAATGAATGTCTCTTGTAATGAATGATGTCCCGCTTGTACAAATTCTTCACTCAATGATGTCATAGGTCACATGTTTATGTTTGGGGGCGGTCCTCCATGACAACTGTCCAGGATTGGAGGTCAGATGAAGAGGTCAGATTCTTGGTCCACCCGCCATGTCTAAGGATCTCCGTGTCTTCATCTCTCTACTTTCTCATCTTTACTTTTACTTTGTAACTCTTCTCTTCTAAATAAACTTTCTGAACCTTCACCGTGATCTCAGCTTGTTGGTTTCCTCATCACATCCCACAATATCTCTGTCATGAGTTGTCATAGCGATGGGACACACGGGGCAGATTTTGGGGACAAACAAGACTATTAGTATGAAGTAGTACAGAAGGATCGCCACCAACAAGTGGGGACATCGTCCTCCAAGTGTCCCATCCTCCCCTCAGGCCGTGCAGAGAAGACATTATCATTGGTGGCCATGATCAAAACCAGAAACATCTTTTCCTTCCATTGTGCCGTCTATGGCCGGCCTTCATCTCCACCGAACTCCATAACCCAACAGCTCCACCTAATAATCATCCTGACATGATGTGTAGGGATGAGTGGGTGTGTCTGGGTTTAGTTCACGGACCGTCGCTGATCCCGTCATGAAAACATAACTTTATTTACATCCCCATTGAAGTCTGTAGAGGGAGAATCCTGAAATCCTGTTCTACATTCATTTCTAATAGG